TAACTTGTACCAAAGTCAACTGCTTCAAAGTCCAACTTTCACATATTTCATTGTTGATAATCAATCTTATATCGTTCCGTACGATTTGGTCCGTTCCCATTTCTACAGCTAGCCCCAGAAAAAAAGAGATTGCTCAAAATTAGCGAGCACGCGCCGACAGTTTCACGCTTTCCACGTTTTGAGGGAAAAATACCAATCTCTGTACCAGAGACAACCCGCTTCCTAGTTAGCCGTTTTTAAACTTTGATTTCTTTTTGAATTCGAAGAGTTGCCATAAGCTGACAAGAAGGCGCATTTGTGAGGACGAGTTTTGAAAGGGACCTTTTAAAACGTCTGATGCAGAAAGTCAACATTGATGCAACAAATTAGGTTAAGCAGATATTAATGCAATAAATTAAGTTAACCAGACATTCATGCAATAAATAAGGCTAACCAGACTGACAGCTGTTTTGTGTGCTATTTAATAAACTGGCTGAAGTTTGCTGAGCGGTTTTTGTCAAGGCTAAGTCGGCTTATTACCTTTTTGCTTCGCGCACTCGACACTCGACACTCGTTCTGCTCGCTTGATTTGTAGTGTAATCAGCTGGCCCACAAGTTCTGTTTTTTCCTTGTTCAAAAATTAATTATGAACCAAGAATTTTCCACTAACCATAACTTAAAATTTATAGTAGCCACAAAAGAAAAGATTTTCGAAAGTAGTCGATTTCTGGAGAAACCATTTAACGTTGAAACTGAGTGTGGCATATGTTGGCTTTCTCGTTCATGTCTCTGTTTTTCTGCTTTGAAACACTAAAATAAACCCAGAAATAATAGCCACAGTGTTTACATATGCCCTGGATTGAGGACTTAATATTGCAACTAGTTTCGATTTTTGTATCCCTAATCGTATGATTTTAAGTGGGATTTCAAAACCAATAGATTAGAGCACCTAAGGTTAATGAACAAAATATAATAATAACAAACGACTCTGAAAGGTTTTACAACACGACTGAGGGTAACTTAGCCCTTTCGACAGAAAAATTTAGCAAAACGAATTTGCATGATATCCGTTTGATATATTTTCAAATTAATTCCATTGTCTTCTCTTCAGAAAGTGCGCTCGAGTGGTTATCCAAAACAAAGACATTTTAGTTTACCAAAAACATTTTTGTTTCGTCCCCGTGGTCAAGCGAGCGCGCCCATAGCCGGTAGTTATTTCTAAAGATTAGCTGGTTCTTTCCTGGTATTTCTCGTACCACCCAGGCAGAATTTTGTCTTGTAAGCAATTCCAATTGAACGGAATATAAGCTTACAAAACTGTAAATTAGTGGCTGAGTTCTGAGAATACGGAGCTATGAGGTTCATCGAGACTCTGTCCTAGTCTATTATTAACTTTTAAATTCCCTTAACTTATATGCTTGACAACTTGCTCATAACGGAGGGAGAAATTATGCATTGATGAGCCACATTTTTGCGCTTTCCGTTAAGCAGGTAAATAATCTGATTGGGCACCTGTTTGCTGCCATCTGCAAGATCATTTTCGGAACAAAGGAACATGAATTTCTGCCGAGACCAACCGCGGTGTCTTGAAAACGACACGGAAACTACAAAAGCAGTATGAAAGCCCTGTTGCAGATAGAATTTTAAAAAACACTGTAAGCGTGCTCTGTTTATGACAGGAAACCGCTTTGCTTGGAGTTATTTTGGATGAAAAATAAAAAATGATAATACTTCCTGTCCCCTAGAAAATGAGAAATGAATGTAGTGGTTGCTAGGCAAGTATGATGGCGAGAAAGGTTTTATCAACAGAAATCGCGTGGGCATGGTGTGGCAGTCTCTCGCTGCACTCAAGCATATCAAAGTTCAATGGAAAATTATGCTGCGCTCTTTTCGCTCTCGTCTGAGAAACAAAAATGGTGTGCTTGCATTCTACAATGCTTTAACTCAAGTTCTTGTCTCAAGACGTCAGTTTCCGCAGCTTGCAGAACTAGGTACACTGCTGTCTCCTAGGTGAACTGCAAGTTCATCGGATCAAAAATTTTCACAACATATCAAAACTTTACATTCCTTCTAGTTCTCATAAAGCAAAGAAGTAAAAACGCAAGTTTTATGTATTCTGTTCCTTAGTATCTCCACGCTATAACTTCGAGGCTCATAATTGAGATTTAAGGTCGGTATACACGAGGGAAGCGACTGAAGCAGTATTGTTTACACGGGGTTCTGTATCAATCACATAGAGACATCGACATCCTCCCTCTCCCCCGGCCATATCCCAGACATTTGTTAATTTCTTGTGCCCTAGTAGGTGGGAATTTGAAGTTGATGCTTGTTATCGGGGTGGGACATTTGACACTATATGGGAGGGGCTGCTTCGAATTGCGAAGCCGTGTTCAAGCTAGAAGTCATCCAGAAATAACGCCATTCTTTTTAACGTTGTTGAAAGGCCTTCCAAAGTTGTGTGCTATGTTTGAACAAAGTTAATAGAGGGGAATGGTTATTAAATCAGACACAGTCCTTTGTTGTATGTTTTTGTTCGGTTTTGGCCTTGACCGTGAACAGGACACAAAAGTTGTTTACTTTTGACTAAGAAACTAACCAATAGAAACGTTTTTATTTCTTAATTCATGCATAATGAATGAGCGCATAACAACAGATTGTGCAGGGTCGTGGACCTTCCACTATAATGGCATCAAAAAAAAAAGAGCATCTTTGTTTGCTCCTTTGATGTTTGCCGTTAATTAAAAGTTTTGCTTGAGAAAATTTACCCATGTGTATATTTTGATGGTATTTACAAACAATACTTGGGACACAATTGGGGTTTAATGCAGGTTTTCGGGGATGAATGTGCTTTTGCTTTTCCATTGTTCATTTTTGCCATGTATGTTCAGATTTCTCCGGAGTAGTGTGGTCGGAAGACATTTGATGCGTTTTCAGAATTACATTTCTGAATTAAATGCTCCTTTTTAAAACGGTACCGTCAGATATCTCACATACAGGTTCTTCCGCAGCAAACAGGCTCAAATACTGACGAAACTCTCGCTTGTATTTAACCACAAACTCGATAGCGTGCAGTCGACTATCTAACGTCGGCTTTTACCGAATTAATGAAGCTTCGTCACGGTTTGTGCACCTTGGCTAGTTTAGCCCAATTCTTTTCCAAGTTCTTCGTTTGTAATCCGTTTTAGTGTTTTCCATCCTTAACCATCCTTGTTCCTTTATGGTTCATTTTTATCTCTTTGGTGTTTTTCTATCTTAGTAAACTTTTATTTTCAGTTTTTCCTTCAATTTAAAGGCAATTTTGTACGCGGCCAAATTAATTCAAAGTAGCGTGACTGAGCTCCTTCAAAGCTATTGAAGTTTTCAGTCGACGTCAGTTTTCGTTCTTTCAATGAGCGGCGAATGATGTCAACTCTTCTAGCTGTACTAATCCGGCACTGATGACATTCGAGAAATGTTGAATAAAAAAGCTAAGTAATCCAGCCAAGTAATACGGCAAACATTTTACGGCTATTCGCTCCAGTCCCTTACTAAGCGAGCATATACATAAATTAGAGCTTCAGACCAGCTGGCCTAAGAAACCTGTGGCTGTTAGCAGCCGCAACATGTTGTCTCTCTTACTAGCTTGCTTCTCCACGCTACCGCGCTTCTCGTTTCCCGTCCGTCCCTTTTCCTATCCTTTACACTTTAAACTCGCTCAAGCGCGGTCGCATTTCTCCATCTCTCAGTGATTCAGCGAGCATGAAAGGGACTGTCACGAATAGTATGTAACTTGTCGTGTAATGATGTTGAATTGCAAATGGAAAAGCGTTGGTCTTTATTCCTGAAACTCCAGAAAGGAGAAACCACTGACGAATTCATTCAATTCTCTTGAGTCTTGATGGATATTTGTGATTAAAACATAATCTCCTTTCCTTTTGTTGCAGGCGTATAATGCAGTCTTCTTTTCCAAACCTTCCAGCAGGGGAGCTAAACAAATTGAAGAAACTATCCATACTGTATGTATTTCGTGTGNATAAATACTTGCAGAAGATGGTGAATCGTTTAATATAGCCTAGAGTGCACATGTTTTTCCCCTGATTTCGTTTCTAGCCATAAATTTCTGCCATTATCTCGCGGCTTACAGAAGGGGCAGATATATATCGCAAACAAAGTCGCTAAGGGTATTGTTATGTAATATTTAAATGCACGTCCTGATAACTTGGAATCTCGCTAAACAACATCCGCTTTCCGAGACAAAAGCCAGGTGGTTGGATATTAAAATCTTTTATCGAGATTTAAAGAAATCTACGGAAATTCCACAGCGAGTGGTAGACCAAGTCTGTGTACGTGGAATAATAGAAACTCACTATCAAGCTCATATCTGGCACGTAACTATCTATACACAACTGTTTTGTGGCAGAGGGCCAAGACATTGTGTAACGTGTTTAAAGCAACCCTCTGGCAACGGTGACACGTTTCAGATAACGCCACGTGTTCAAGGCCAGTCATTCCTGCATTTATAAAGCATGTTTTGCTTTTTAAATGAAAACATACCATGATGTTAGGCGAAAGCTAGAACTTTCCAAAATTTTGCACTCAAACTGTATTGAAATTAAATCGTTGTCAAACAAATATTCGGGCATTAAAACGGTTCGTTGTATGTTGAGGGCGACCGTCAAAAGGCAAGTTTGAGGTGAGTTACTGAAAACGCGGAAACCTTGAAATCTGCGGTTTAATTGATTTAAAGGTACAATGGACGGAGACAAATATTTGAGGTTTTTAAAACTCTTCGTGGGGGTTGGGGAGGTTCCAGAAAAAATTGGGTGGGGGTGTGCGGCTCGCTTTCCAAAACCCTTAAACTGTTTAAGAACAAAATTACCAAAATCTGCGATTTTCTCTTTTTCCAGGACCTGACCATAACTACGATACCTTATTTAAGACCTGACCCTTAAATCAATACCCTGTTTCAGACCTGCCTTTTACTTAGTTATCTAGTTCAGACCGATGCTTAAAGCATTGTGAAGGGCTTTTGTTGATGGTCTCATCGGTAATGATGAAAAGTAGCTTCTTCTAAAAGAAAAAGCGTACGTATGCCGACCCAATTGGAGACTAGAGTGCAAAAATCATGCCCTGTTCGAGGCCAAAATGGTCAAAATCAAAAGAATGTGATCATAGTCTCTTGCCAAAATCGGTAGTTTATTTCTGAACAAAACAGGCTTAAAAACCGTACCCTCTGGGGCCTCACTTATCTACGTAGCCCATACAGTGGAGCACCCCCTCTCCTCTCCCCGCTCCCCGGGTTAAAACTGAAACCAATTTAAAGGATATGGACAAGGAAAGCCCTAGGGGGTCTCTGCAGGTGACTGTTGTTGTCCTGACTCAAAACAGTGACTGACGTGATCATGACATTTGATTTGATCGCCAGCCTCTCGTGACTGACTAGGATCGGATCAAATTACCCCCGCCTGCATGCAGTTCTTAACAGGATGCGCTGACGGCGGATGTTACTTCTGTTAACTCTGTCATATTTTAAATTAACTTGCAGTCTACAAATAGGCCAATTTACAACGACGCCCTGTCCGTAAGCCTTGTGCAACATGTTCGCCGTTATTTTGGTCGTTTTGGTTCTTGCTAACCTTGGAGAAGGAGAAAAATGCCCCAGCGAATGCGAATGCGACTACACTCCTACGAACAACACGACTGACGTTCGATGTCACAAGATGTCTTCTTTTCCATCTGTCGACGAGTTACCGAAAAATACAAGATCGCTGTAAGTGTTTTTACTTTTTGAATCAAGCAATCTCTCTAAAATGAACCTTTTCCCACTTGTATGTAAGCAACTGAACATCACATCAGTACGCTCTTCACATTATTTATTCTCATGATGTAACTGATATGTGTATTTTTGCAGCGACGCTCTCAGTCCCTCGTGGTATTTCGCAATCGCCTGCAAAGCGAAATGAATGTGGGTTCGAAAACATCTTTTGTCATTAAAAGTGGCTGCCTACAAAATGACTCCTTTGCACATGTTGGCGCGTTCATTTAAGTCAGATTTGACGTCTTCCGGTAGAATAATAGAGTAGAATAATAGAATAATATTGAATCGCTGTGTTCTTTTGTAGCATTGTCAGTGTTGCCGGGAGGAGATAATTCTATTAACACCCGAATGATATTGTCTAACCTGAAATTGACTTCTCACTTCATTGCACAACTTCAACTTCATATTAATTGAGAGACACTTCCTTTTTCCTTATTCCGGGAAATTATCGGTCTTAACTTGTACCAAAGTCAACTGCTTCAAAGTCCAACTTTCACATATTTCATTGTTGATAATCAATCTTATATCGTTCCGTACGATTTGGTCCGTTCCCATTTCTACAGCTAGCCCCAGAAAAAAAGAGATTGCTCAAAATTAGCGAGCACGCGCCGACAGTTTCACGCTTTCCACGTTTTGAGGGAAAAATACCAATCTCTGTACCAGAGACAACCCGCTTCCTAGTTAGCCGTTTTTAAACTTTGATTTCTTTTTGAATTCGAAGAGTTGCCATAAGCTGACAAGAAGGCGCATTTGTGAGGACGAGTTTTGAAAGGGACCTTTTAAAACGTCTGATGCAGAAAGTCAACATTGATGCAACAAATTAGGTTAAGCAGATATTAATGCAATAAATTAAGTTAACCAGACATTCATGCAATAAATAAGGCTAACCAGACTGACAGCTGTTTTGTGTGCTATTTAATAAACTGGCTGAAGTTTGCTGAGCGGTTTTTGTCAAGGCTAAGTCGGCTTATTACCTTTTTGCTTCGCGCACTCGACACTCGACACTCGTTCTGCTCGCTTGATTTGTAGTGTAATCAGCTGGCCCACAAGTTCTGTTTTTTCCTTGTTCAAAAATTAATTATGAACCAAGAATTTTCCACTAACCATAACTTAAAATTTATAGTAGCCACAAAAGAAAAGATTTTCGAAAGTAGTCGATTTCTGGAGAAACCATTTAACGTTGAAACTGAGTGTGGCATATGTTGGCTTTCTCGTTCATGTCTCTGTTTTTCTGCTTTGAAACACTAAAATAAACCCAGAAATAATAGCCACAGTGTTTACATATGCCCTGGATTGAGGACTTAATATTGCAACTAGTTTCGATTTTTGTATCCCTAATCGTATGATTTTAAGTGGGATTTCAAAACCAATAGATTAGAGCACCTAAGGTTAATGAACAAAATATAATAATAACAAACGACTCTGAAAGGTTTTACAACACGACTGAGGGTAACTTAGCCCTTTCGACAGAAAAATTTAGCAAAACGAATTTGCATGATATCCGTTTGATATATTTTCAAATTAATTCCATTGTCTTCTCTTCAGAAAGTGCGCTCGAGTGGTTATCCAAAACAAAGACATTTTAGTTTACCAAAAACATTTTTGTTTCGTCCCCGTGGTCAAGCGAGCGCGCCCATAGCCGGTAGTTATTTCTAAAGATTAGCTGGTTCTTTCCTGGTATTTCTCGTACCACCCAGGCAGAATTTTGTCTTGTAAGCAATTCCAATTGAACGGAATATAAGCTTACAAAACTGTAAATTAGTGGCTGAGTTCTGAGAATACGGAGCTATGAGGTTCATCGAGACTCTGTCCTAGTCTATTATTAACTTTTAAATTCCCTTAACTTATATGCTTGACAACTTGCTCATAACGGAGGGAGAAATTATGCATTGATGAGCCACATTTTTGCGCTTTCCGTTAAGCAGGTAAATAATCTGATTGGGCACCTGTTTGCTGCCATCTGCAAGATCATTTTCGGAACAAAGGAACATGAATTTCTGCCGAGACCAACCGCGGTGTCTTGAAAACGACACGGAAACTACAAAAGCAGTATGAAAGCCCTGTTGCAGATAGAATTTTAAAAAACACTGTAAGCGTGCTCTGTTTATGACAGGAAACCGCTTTGCTTGGAGTTATTTTGGATGAAAAATAAAAAATGATAATACTTCCTGTCCCCTAGAAAATGAGAAATGAATGTAGTGGTTGCTAGGCAAGTATGATGGCGAGAAAGGTTTTATCAACAGAAATCGCGTGGGCATGGTGTGGCAGTCTCTCGCTGCACTCAAGCATATCAAAGTTCAATGGAAAATTATGCTGCGCTCTTTTCGCTCTCGTCTGAGAAACAAAAATGGTGTGCTTGCATTCTACAATGCTTTAACTCAAGTTCTTGTCTCAAGACGTCAGTTTCCGCAGCTTGCAGAACTAGGTACACTGCTGTCTCCTAGGTGAACTGCAAGTTCATCGGATCAAAAATTTTCACAACATATCAAAACTTTACATTCCTTCTAGTTCTCATAAAGCAAAGAAGTAAAAACGCAAGTTTTATGTATTCTGTTCCTTAGTATCTCCACGCTATAACTTCGAGGCTCATAATTGAGATTTAAGGTCGGTATACACGAGGGAAGCGACTGAAGCAGTATTGTTTACACGGGGTTCTGTATCAATCACATAGAGACATCGACATCCTCCCTCTCCCCCGGCCATATCCCAGACATTTGTTAATTTCTTGTGCCCTAGTAGGTGGGAATTTGAAGTTGATGCTTGTTATCGGGGTGGGACATTTGACACTATATGGGAGGGGCTGCTTCGAATTGCGAAGCCGTGTTCAAGCTAGAAGTCATCCAGAAATAACGCCATTCTTTTTAACGTTGTTGAAAGGCCTTCCAAAGTTGTGTGCTATGTTTGAACAAAGTTAATAGAGGGGAATGGTTATTAAATCAGACACAGTCCTTTGTTGTATGTTTTTGTTCGGTTTTGGCCTTGACCGTGAACAGGACACAAAAGTTGTTTACTTTTGACTAAGAAACTAACCAATAGAAACGTTTTTATTTCTTAATTCATGCATAATGAATGAGCGCATAACAACAGATTGTGCAGGGTCGTGGACCTTCCACTATAATGGCATCAAAAAAAAAAGAGCATCTTTGTTTGCTCCTTTGATGTTTGCCGTTAATTAAAAGTTTTGCTTGAGAAAATTTACCCATGTGTATATTTTGATGGTATTTACAAACAATACTTGGGACACAATTGGGGTTTAATGCAGGTTTTCGGGGATGAATGTGCTTTTGCTTTTCCATTGTTCATTTTTGCCATGTATGTTCAGATTTCTCCGGAGTAGTGTGGTCGGAAGACATTTGATGCGTTTTCAGAATTACATTTCTGAATTAAATGCTCCTTTTACCGTCAGATATCGGTACCGTCAGATATCTCACATACAGGTTCTTCCGCAGCAAACAGGCTCAAATACTGACGAAACTCTCGCTTGTATTTAACCACAAACTCGATAGCGTGCAGTCGACTATCTAACGTCGGCTTTTACCGAATTAATGAAGCTTCGTCACGGTTTGTGCACCTTGGCTAGTTTAGCCCAATTCTTTTCCAAGTTCTTCGTTTGTAATCCGTTTTAGTGTTTTCCATCCTTAACCATCCTTGTTCCTTTATGGTTCATTTTTATCTCTTTGGTGTTTTTCTATCTTAGTAAACTTTTATTTTCAGTTTTTCCTTCAATTTAAAGGCAATTTTGTACGCGGCCAAATTAATTCAAAGTAGCGTGACTGAGCTCCTTCAAAGCTATTGAAGTTTTCAGTCGACGTCAGTTTTCGTTCTTTCAATGAGCGGCGAATGATGTCAACTCTTCTAGCTGTACTAATCCGGCACTGATGACATTCGAGAAATGTTGAATAAAAAAGCTAAGTAATCCAGCCAAGTAATACGGCAAACATTTTACGGCTATTCGCTCCAGTCCCTTACTAAGCGAGCATATACATAAATTAGAGCTTCAGACCAGCTGGCCTAAGAAACCTGTGGCTGTTAGCAGCCGCAACATGTTGTCTCTCTTACTAGCTTGCTTCTCCACGCTACCGCGCTTCTCGTTTCCCGTCCGTCCCTTTTCCTATCCTTTACACTTTAAACTCGCTCAAGCGCGGTCGCATTTCTCCATCTCTCAGTGATTCAGCGAGCATGAAAGGGACTGTCACGAATAGTATGTAACTTGTCGTGTAATGATGTTGAATTGCAAATGGAAAAGCGTTGGTCTTTATTCCTGAAACTCCAGAAAGGAGAAACCACTGACGAATTCATTCAATTCTCTTGAGTCTTGATGGATATTTGTGATTAAAACATAATCTCCTTTCCTTTTGTTGCAGGCGTATAATGCAGTCTTCTTTTCCAAACCTTCCAGCAGGGGAGCTAAACAAATTGAAGAAACTATCCATACTGTATGTATTTCGTGTGTTTTGCATTTATAAACCTTTAAGACTTAGAATGGCCATTTAAGAGGTAGAGAACATTTTCCGCCTGCCACTTGTGTTTCCATATTTTATTCTCGTTCTTCCAAACTCCCACCATAGTTAATAGAGGGGAATGGTTATGAAACCTGACAAATGTCTTTGTTGAATGTTTTTGCTTGCTTTTTTGGCCTTGACCGTGCACAAAACACAATAGTCGTCTACTCCATACTGAGGAACTAACCAATAGAACCGTTTTGGTTACGTAATTCATGCATAGTGTATGAGCGACAAACAAAAGACTGTGCACGGTCGTGGACCTTCCAACATAAATCTTGGCATCTTCGTTTGCTTCTTTGATGTTTGCCGGGCTTCATAACCATTCCGCTCTATTAACTATGTTTCCACTCGTTATCTTATCACTCGATAGATACAAGGAAAATGGTTTCTGTTTCTTATGAAATGGAAAAACAGGTTTTTTTCTTAAATGATACATGATCGATACTCAAGGAGCATATACAACTAATACGTGAGAGTCCGGTTTGAAGGATGGGCATGAGGGGTGTTACCAGAAAAGGGTCCCAAAAATTGTATTTTGCCTGGGTTGAAACCTTGACGTTTGTGAAGTCATTCGTAACCCTGACTTTTTGGATAACTCTTTGTTATCTGTTTAGAGCGGTTTTTATTCGAGAGTTGTTAAACCAATCACAAAGGCACAGACAATGCAGCGACCAATCAAAATTCGAAGATAATATGCGTAGCTGGTGCGAAGCGCGGGAAAACGTGTGCCAGCAGGCTCCGCGACTGATTCTGGTTTAACGTCTTATTGGTGGAGAGAATGGCGCGAGTTTTTTTTAAGTCAATCAATGATCGTAAAAAATCGAAACCCAGTCCTGAAAACCGCTCTATTAGACCGAAAGCCCGCTCGCAATGATAACCATTGTTTGGTGGACAGTGGAGTCTTCAACAGTAGATCCCTTTTCGTTAGGGATGGACCATTATTTTTCGAGGGGAAGGGGTGGGGGCTGAGCAATTTCTAAAAACAAATTCCTGTACATCAAAAACTGCTGAATAATAGGGAAGGGGATCCGTAGAGAAAAAAAATCGAACAGGTGCTTTCTACTATCCATATCCTGTGTTTGAATTAAAAAAAAAAAATACTTGCACAAGCTATTGCCCACCAAAAAACTGGTGCGCAGCCTAAAGTTGAGAAAAAACTTCATGTACCACCCCCAAATCCCCTTTAGACTCCCCGGCAAAACCTTAGCTGAGACTTCTTTCGAACTCTGGAGATAAAACGCGTGCAGTATAATCTCGTTCTTTCGTTCGTTCTTTTATCAATTTTATAGTTATAGGTATTTTAAGGAACGGCATTCAAGAGGGTTCTTAATTATTTTGCTGCCTTCGACTTTCAGAATCCTGGATAACAATGAGATAACAGACATTCAAGATGGTGCATTCGACGGTCTCGATGATCTTTTTGAAATGTGAGTATTGAAGCCCCACAATAGTTCAACAGTTCATATGCTAAACACGTAGACTACCAGTAGTCCCTCTTTCGCTTAGTCCGTCGTGCATGACGCGAAAGAAAACGGGAGGGAAAAATAGCCACGCGAAACCCTGAGGGCGTGCCTCTCGCCCCCGGGATTTTGCGCGGCATCTTTTTCTGGCAGTTTTATTTGCGGTCACGCACGACGGACTAAGCGAAAGAGGGATTACTTGTAGTTACCACTGCTAGGAACTCCAAACTGGAAAATTAAACTGACCTTTGAATCACACCATAACCCAGAAAATGTAGTTAAACGGCCAAGGGATTGCCGAGCAAGGAGACGACAGGGCGACCTTTGTTCAAGTCACTTGACCGACAGATCTTAAGCAGCTGCTCAAACTGATGTCATAAAAATATCCCGTAACTTTCAATTTTTACGAAGAGTAGTTTATCGTTGAGCATAGCAAAAGCCAATTTCAGTCCATTTGACATTTTCTCGTACACTGTGTTTCTAGAAACCTGGATCATAACAGATTGGTGAAATTTCCCGTTTTCAAGACCAAATCGCCACTGAAGAAACTGTAAGTATACACGTGATATTTCATTAATTGTAAACTTTCTACTACATAACTGCGTCCAGTTTGTTGGAACACTGCGAATTGAACTCACATCAGCCACTTTCCCAAGAAACCTACATGTATTCTGGCTGCCCTTTTTGGGCCACTAATGTGCGTGACTTTTGCGTTATGAGTCTCCGTGACAAGCGCGTGACGAGCGCTTGAAATTTCTGCTTCTATCTGCACTGTTAACTTAATAATGAATATTCTGGAAACGATATGGGTCCCTAAAGCGTCAAATGAACATTGATTGTATGGCTAGCTCCGTGAGCGGGCAAGATGAACCAATCCTGCACTGAGATTTGTTACCCGAGCGGGCAAAATGGCGCTATCTTGCCCGCTCGGGATTACGCGCTGTATATCGCGAGACAGTAGTCTTCTGTTGTTCGATCAAGTTGACTGGTTATGGGCCTCGTTCTTTTCTTGCGAGTTTATGGACCTCGACTCCGTCTCGCTCCATAAACACGCAAAAAANTAGTAGAAGTCTTTATTAAGAAATCAGTCACAACATACGTGTGGCTTTACAATCAATAACAAACTAAGCTAAACTAGAAAAAACCTATCATATGTATTGCAAGAAAAATTTTAAGAAATAAATTTAAAAAGACATTATTTACAAAAGCCCATTTGAATCATTCCTTTTTAACTTTAGGGAGTATGAAGCCATGGCCCCTTTCTCTAAGAGCTCTGTTACGTTTGGGTGGGAGCAAGTCATATAGTACATGGCCAGTGTCACTTGTGATTCTTTTGAAAAGATCACTGTCCCTATCCTTTATAACATCAGATATCAAAATGATCTTATTGGTATAGCTAAAACGATAGGCTCGCCAAAAAAAAGTGTCAATCTGATCTAAATATTTGCCTTGATAGGCGGAGCCCCACACTTCTAATCCATACAGAAATAATGACATTATTATAAAATCTCACACCTGTAACAAAATTGTTTTTTGTGGGTTAATGTTATGAATAACGGGCAAGTTCACCCTTAACATCAAGGGCCCATCAAGCTTACTCAGCCATAACATGTACAGTTGTTATGGGTTACATCCCTTTATGGCAGTCCTGTATTCACTTGCATTTCTTCACCATCTTCAAGTACACTTATACTTTTACTAGTGAATTGATTCACGCTTCTGTTTCCTTACCTTTTGATGAATTTCTCGAACTCAAGTCTTCAAAATCACAACATGACTAGCTCCCAGGACTGCATTTGTATTATGAAGGTCATGAGTTTAAATCCCATCCAATTCTATTCTTTTTTCCATGCTTTATTTTTTTTTTTTTTATTTTTTTTTTTTTCTTAATTTCTGTACTTAACTACAACAATCTCTCATATCTTTAAACATGAGCTGACTGTTCATCAATTGCATTTTCTTCACAGGGGAGTAAAGGAAGTTCTTCAAAAGCGATTGAAGAACCACATCAAGAAAGAGAAATTAGTGCAAGCTAAACTGGCACAGGAAAAGAGGATGAATGAAGTTCATTTTTACTGTGTTATAGATTTTTAAGCAACTTGTGAGAAAGATAATCCAAAGGACTACATTCATGAGATAATAGAGTTTCCTGCTGTACTTGTGGATGCGACTACTCTAGAAGTGGTGAGTGAATTGCTGAGACATTAGCTAAACTGTGCACTGTCAATTTAGCCACACAAAGCCACCCAATGACAGCTTGTCCTGAAAATTTTAAATGGGAAAAAGGAAGGATTTTATTCCTATATGTTTGAATCCCTCATGAGTGATTTATCACCTCAAAATACTACTAATAATTGCTTTGTATTCTGTAGAAATGGATGTGTTAAAAAATATGTATTAATATGAGAGATGTATTTTGAAAATGTACCAGCCAAGTACAGTCAAACGCTCTCTTCAACAATGGTAATGACTACAACAAAGTTGTGTAAATCTGTATTCCTAGACTGACTAACAGTAATTCTATGTCTATTAATTAATGCCTAATAATCATCATCATCTGTCCTTTTCATGCCACTGATTCCAACTGGTCCAGTCCTATGCCCTCTGTTGGGCCACTCTCCATCACAGATGAGCTGAAGCCAGCTCTTTCATTGCATTGCCTAATAGCGGAGCTCTGAGCACCATAACTATAGGAAGAGAACCACATGCACACCTAGAAGTAGAAACCCATGCATCTCTTTTTTCATGGTCAACATTGCTAGTGGCATGGATCGCGGGCACGGGCACCCTACGACAACGAAAATGANGAAATCATTGGCAATCTGTGATTTCTTTTAATGGGATTTTTATGAGAACAGTCATTTGACATCACTGGAAGAAATAGAATCCTATAATCGACGTTGATTTCCCAGTATGAGTTATTTTAATGAGTTATTTTAAGTTAGGGGGAAGACAGAGCAGGAACCCAGGAGAAAACGAATGGGTGGGAATCCGAGGGAAACGGTCCTTGTGAGATGATGTGAAGCAGAAAATAATGTAAAATGTTGCATAAAGGCAAAGGAGAAAGTGTCGGGAGCTTCCAGTGAATAAGATGGGAACTGGGGTAAAGGGTGTGGGAAGATCAGATCCGCCCCCTTATCGCCCCCTATCCCCCCTGCCTATTTTTAAGATGGCATTCACCCATTGTAATAATAAAATCTTCATATTATCCAGGGTATCTATCTTGCAGTGTGGTACTCTTTCACGGAGGCCTGAATATTTATCTCCACATGAGACACTGATCCCGGTAGTATGCAGGACGCGTGTCAAGAGCGCCCGACTGGTATCTGGCCTGGGAGGTCTGGGTTTGAACCTTGTTGAAGGCTCAGATTTTTTTCTTTGTTCCACGCTCGCGAAATAATGAACATTGCATCTTTCACAAAAAATTGACGTTCAGCTCCCTTGTAAATGAATGTCTTTTTCAGGGCTTTTGTGGTAATTAAATTTCACTTCAGAACCATTTTTTCCTTCTCTTTCTGTCTGAAAGGAAACTGTAGACAATGCTGCTGCTTTTCCAGAAGTCCTTTCCAAGTTTGAGCAGTGGCTTACAGATCACAAACTTGGATCAGAATATAAATTTGGTGTTGTCACGGATGGGTAAGCCAGCATTTGACTCATATCAATATCTAAATCCGCTTGTAAATCTGAAGCTTCATGCTACCAAACAGCTGTTCCAAAGCCTGAATTTCAACCTCGCCTCCAGTCGGCTTCTTACTAGTCACGATGCAAATTAGCTGATGAGCACATCGGGAGTTTTTGTTCAAGTTTGGTGATGACAACTAGAGATTGAAATGCATTAACACAGGACATAAGACGCTGCGAAACAGAACACTCTTCTTGGTCACTAAGACTCCACCTGTTGAATAGTTTTTCAAGTTTGTCGTTTGTAATCTGATAGAGACTAGNAAAAAAAAAAAAAAAAAAAAAAAAAATTGGGTAATATCCGGCCATCTTGACCTAAGGCTTGGTCAATAACCCATATATATATATATCACTTTTTCAGATACCTTAACAACAACCAGATCAAAGAATTATCACGAATGTCTCTTAAAAATCTGCCGGAGCTAAACCGGTTGTAAGTATCATTTTGTTAAGACGGCGTTTAATTTTTTCTTCTTGTGGAACAAGTATTAACATCACTCAAGCTTATTGTAGAGTGAACATTAAAGGAAGCGGATCAGTTTACCGAATCGGACTTCCATTACCAGTTAGCCTGCAAACAGGCTGTCTAATCGGGGATAGGACGAAGAGAAAAAAACAGGATAAGGGAGAGAGGAGCGAACAGAGTGTGTGTGTGTGTGTGTGNGGGAAAGACGCGTCAGCTCCACCCCATTCCCCTCCTCGGCCTAACTACCAGTTTTCTTTTTCTTCGTGGTCTCCGCTCAGAAATGTTTTTCCCTATTTACTATTATAATATTTCCTTATTTATTATTATTCATTTTGAAGGCTAGGAGGTTATCAGTGTATTAAACTACTGTCAAATGTCACCCTCAATAAATGAAGTCTACTTAGGAGGCGTTTCTCCTGGTGTTGTTTACTAATCAATCAATTACAAACACTTGATTTTTGCTTGCAGGGAATTAGATGAGACTAGCATCACAGAAATACCTGCTTATATTTTTAGCAATAACAAGAAGCTTTTCATCTTGTAAGTATTGTTCTCAATCTTTCACGAATCTAGATGTGATCTCTTTGTTTGTTTGTTTGTTTGTTTTTACTTAGCGTTTTTCTGTTTTATTTCTCCTGTCGATTTTTTCTCAACTTTTCCCGGCCTTGTTAAAATGTGTCCATCACTTTAGGGTATCAAGCTGAATTTTCCATTAAAATAGATCGATTTCGACAGCAGTGTTTCTTACCTGAGTAATACAAAGTAACGCATCACATTCAATTATTAACAACAATTTTTTCTGTTATAAGAGAAAATTATATTCTCTTTCCAACTCTTTACTTATTCTGTTGACGTATTTCTTAGGAGCCTAAAGAAATCCTCGCTGACAACAATTGATGACAATGCTTTCGTCGATTCAAATCTCCAAGAACTGTAAGTGCTAAAGGATTAATAGTTTACACTTGGATTATTGAAGTTCAGACTCGAAGATTTTTTTGTTATGGTAGCAAAATGCGCGTCCTAGAACTGTGTTAGTCGACAACGGTTAGAAAATTGTGTGGTAAAGATATCATGCAAGCCAGATATGGTCATGCTGAGCCCTCGTTGGCCTTTTTCTGAATGTAACCTGATTTGACCTATCAGGGCAAAGATGGTGATTTGCATAGTGTCACTTTTCCCGCTCTTGGAAACAGCTACACTTTCCCGCTCTTAGTACTGATAACATTTTTTTTTTCCTGCTGCCTTCCGTTTGCCTAGCTCCTAGGCCTCAATATTTTGCCGCTGTCAATCGTTTCGGGTCCCGTGGTACGTCAACGAAATCAATTGACCGTGAAGGCCAGGAAGAAAGCCGTACAGGAACTAGGCAAGCCGTCCGTTACATGCCGTCACGCAACGCGTTCCGTCACCATGAGAAACGCTGTTTGGCAATAAAATAACTTCGAAAGATGCTGTTTTCATCATCGCTATTTTTGTTGTTGTCTTGTTAGGTTTTTACAAGGAACGAAGATTACGTCTTTATCAGCTACAGGACTCGATCGTTTAGTGAAACTAAACCTGGAAGATGTTGAGAACTTTTGGTCCATTCCTCCTGGTCTGAGTAAAATCCGTGAGATCTACTTGAGTGAGTACAACTCTTTCCTTTGCTGCGCTTTCCACCTGAACATATACCAGCGAAATTTCGCTAGACAGAGTCATTCTGGGACTAATTCAATTGCTACGCCTTCGACAAGATCAAGTACATCATCAATGCCATCCACAACAGCAAATGTTAGATCTACTACATTTGCTGCAGTCACTACTAACGTTTCTAGTACTTCAACAACGGTTTCCCACATTTCAAGCCAACACGGGAGTTTCACAACGCCTGTTGCGACCACACCTCACGACCCATGGGGTAAGAGAAAACGTCGAAACATCCCGTTTGGATTTGAGACAGCGGCCCCAACAACAAATGGAACCTCTGGGTCAGTTACTACTGCTGAATCAAGTGGCGGTGGTCAGACTTTCCCGAACTTTGAGACCGACGCAGTGACACTCCCAAATACGATTCCCCACAAAAATACACCAAACAGCAGCGTCCCTGTGGTCACAGAACCACCCCCTGAGGACGTTATTTGTTTACCCCAAAGAGACGCATACCACCCCTGTGAGGATATCATGGGCGCAAAATGGCTGACTGTTGTATCATTGATGGTAGGAAGTATTGCACTGTTAGCAAATCTTGTAGTGGTCGTTGTAATGTTGACAAGTGATCGTCGCCTGAATGTTCACCGTTTCCTGATGAGCAATTTAGCCTTTGCCGACTTCTGCCTTGGTTTATACATATCCATCCTGGTGTGCGTGTCTTTGGACACTTCAGGCGAATATTATAACCATATCAGAGCCTGGGAGTATGGCGCTGGATGTAAAATCGCGGGCTTCATCGCCGTGTTCTCCACAGAGCTATCCGTGTACACCCTAACAGTCATAACAATCGAGAGGTTTTTCGCGATTGTGTATGCAATGCAAGTTAACACTCGACTTTCCCTTCGCAAAGCAGTCAAAGTCATGATCGCAGGATGGTTGGTGGCCTTCTTCATAGCCGTTCTTCCCCTCGTAGGTGTGAACAGTTACCAAAGCGTCGCCATTTGTTTACCCTTCAATTCCGACACAAAAGGTGACTTGGCCTACGTGGGCATTGTCTTGGTACTAAATTTTGGAACTTTTCTGGTCATCGCTGGCTTGTACGCGAAAATGTTCCAAGTTGTGGTGGGATCAGGGCCCGTTGAAGGGGCCCCACAGCGTAACGACGCCACCGTTGCCAAGCGGATGGCTTTGCTCGTGTTTACTGACTTTGTTTGTTGGACTCCCATCGCGTTTTTTGGCCTCTTAGCGGCTTTTGGCGCGCCACTCATCGGAGTCGAAGATTCAAAGTTCCTGCTAGTTTTTTTCTTTCCGCTTAACAGCCTCTGCAATCCATTTTTGTACGCATTTTTCACCAAAGCCTTTAAACGTGAGTTCTTCGCCCTGCTGAGTCGCTTCGGGTTTTGTCACACTCGAGCGTTGCATTACAAAGGCACGCTGTCCTCTCTTATCTACTCACGGTCACGCACAAAGCGTTCTACGATAGCTGAGGATGATACGAGATCAAAGCGCATCTCACAGATATCTGCTACATCTGGCGTGGAGGTAAAACCAGGCAACGGCTTTCTAAACGGGAACATTTACGAAAATAACAAATCTCAGGCTCCTTTACCGGAGTGTATTCCCATGAAGGGTGTTCGTAACCCGGGCTTTGGGGATGACTCACCAGTGAGCCCTAACAACGATGACGTATTTTTTGACCCAACAGCCAAGGCAGCGAAAGCGGAATTATCCCCAGAGTCTGCGCTGCGGAATTCACGCTCACGAGACGAGACTCCTGATTGGTCAAACCAAAGCACGCCCCAGATTTCGCGCGCTCCCAGTATTGGCAGTTTCCACGCAATCGAAGGACAACTTCCCGAGAAACGAGGGAAAAAACAGTCTGTATCTTTTCGGGACGTCCCCCGAGTCCAAGTCGAAAAGTAAAACAGGGCTCTCGGCAACAATTCAAGCCTACCGATCTTAACGACACATGATTAACCGTTGTCTAATAAGCTTGAGGACTTTGACACCGTTGACTGAGCCCACAGTGTATGGTCAGGGGAGTCACATGGTAGAGAAAGAAACGAATTTTTAATATAAACAAGACTATAAATTAGTTAACATAATATATGTAGTAGTCTTAAAAAAGACGTTTTAATATATTGAGGAAAATTAGTATTACATTATGGGAAAAAAATCATGCATGTAAAGACTTTGTTGATTCAAAAGAATTAAGGTACAACTCACATTGAGGCTTAAGTGTATAACGATCACGTTATTTACAGTAACAGCGCTAGAATTCAATAGCCCCAGAGCCCTTTCTTCTTACTTGGAGGAAGGGCCCTGGTAACGAAGGGTAAGTAAGGGACCAGCCGGCAGGATAAGGTGGTTTAGCTTTAGCCAAGAGATAATCTCTTGCTTGAGTGCACCTCGCAATCAAGTTTTGAACACCAGGCTTGGTTCGTTAAAATAAAAAGCCTCGCAAATTAATCCACCTGTTTTGCAGGCCTTGTTAGGTTAATTTAAGTTCGTGAGTTATATTCTTTATCTTACTAGTGCATAGCGCTGAACAAGACGTCAAGATTGACTGAATATGTACACAGTCTGACGTTTTCTTGTGATTACCGTTATTTTTTTTTTTTAACCGCGCGGCCATGGGCCGAGCGCGGTTCTAGGTTTACCCGTGGTTTATTATTTTTTNATCTATCAGTCGCTCAAACTTTTATTTAAATCCATGCACTTCACAGACATATACCGCATATTGCTTGGCCAAAAAATGTGGGAAGAACGTGAGTGACACATTCAGCTATCGCCTCGTGTGGCAGGTGTTATCTATTTAACAATTAGATAATGTGCTCGAGATTTCTATCGCGTGATAGTTCCAGACGAGGGTGAAGCCCGAGTCATATCACGCATAGATATCGAGAGCGTATAATTTTTTTAGTATAAATCTTCTAGTCGTTCAAAACATTATCTAAATCCTCTCGGCACAGACATCTCGAAAACGTAAAGAAGCGGCCTTCATTTTGTTACCAAGCGCACAATGCTACGCTACTCAGTATCTACAACACAAAAGATAGTGAGTAGCGCAGACAGTCAGGGAACAACATTCGTGATAGAAAGCTAGTGGATTTATACTAAAACTGAACAGACGCACAGCAACATGGAATCTATTAGTTAAGTAAATAGTGAGTAGCAAAGTCAAAAGAGAACGGCATTCGTAAAAGAATGGTGGTAGATTTATAATAAGAAGAAATAACCAGGAATATTTCTAATTTTCGTGACAAGATGAGTTCTTTATTTGTTGTTTCTGTATGGTAGAAATTGTTACTTACATCTTTAATTCTGTGTAAACGACATGTATTTCAAGTTTGATATTTATGCACGTAATTTAGATATCCATACCTGTAATTAAAGTGTTTGAGTTCACATTAATATTAAGATCAATATATAAAACGCCCATGTGATACCATCAAGTTTGGATCCTGCTTAGCTTGCCAGCAGTCCGCTTTGCTCGTGCTTCTCGCAGGCCTCAATAGGGGGATCGAATGGCCATTGCGAGCATGCGAAGTCTATGCGAGCAGTGTGTTTATTTTTGCGAGCACGAACAGTGATCAAATTTGTCTTGAGAGCAGTGAGCACTTAAGAAAATACAAATGGCAAGCACTTCGTAAATTTTCCACTGGCCGGAATCTCTCTTTTATTAAAATGAAACGTTCTTTTGCACCAGGTGGTCTAACAATCATTTCAAGTTTCGGATTCGATGATCGACAAACTGGTTTCACACTAATTGACTGAAAAAGATTCAACGCAATGAAAATTCATCTGAAGGCTTCTAGGATCGAACCAATTGCAGCCATACAGATCTGACAAGCTCTGAAGGTCGAATAGTAATATTCCTAATGTCCTCATGTCTCTACTGGGATTACTTTCTACCTTTGCAGGTGCCTTTCGCGAAGAATTCTTTTACGCGCGTCAGTTTCAATAAAACGTCAACAAGACGAGGGAGCATATTTCCAGAAAAAATCATATAGCGCGTGTGTTTCCCCAACATTTCCCAGTTGTGCAAAACGAGAAACATTTTTTCCAGCGTAAATTCTGTTTCCAAGATGCAAATTATGCTTCCTCTACACGGTATAGAATTTTTTCCGAGCATGCAAACAGTTGCAAAAATTTTGCGAGCACGAGCAAGCGAGCACTCATGTAATTTTTGCGAGCAATTCGAGGAAAGGCCAAATTTTGCGAGCACTTTTAAATTGAATGGGACCATTCCTATACCCCTTTCAACCTCCTACACTTCCCGCGCTCCCAAAGCTCCTGAGACCCTGGGTACGAGCCAAAACGTGACCTATTTAAAGGTCTTTTTTCTTTCTGAGAAGGGCGCGTCCTTCTGCCAGAAGGTTCATGGGAAAGTCCCGCGGGAAACTCGACTTTGTTCGTCTTTAGCATTACGGGACTGGCATTGCTAAACACAACCGCCTATTACACGTGAGAGAAGAGAAGTCACGAAAGCCTGCTATCCCAGACAAAACCTGTTCAAACGGTAAATTAATCAGACTTTCTAAAAGTCCTTTCCAATGATTCCTCCCTATATCGTCTCGCTCGATGGAGATTCATAAGTCAAGGATTAAGACAAGGTCGACTTGTGGCAAGTCTATGAATTCATGTAAATTCTCTTAAGGTGATTCCCTAGTAAAAGAACCCGCCATAGATTTCCGATGAAACTTGGTATGCTGTTCATGTTCACAGGACGAGATACTAAAACGTAATAAAAAGAGGGGGTCAACGTGCTTGTTTTCACGCCACAATGCTGACAAATACGGTTATTTAGGCGACTTTGGTAATCTCGAGCTCCGTGCGTAACAAATAAGCTCGATTATTTTTCAATGCAGCATGTTATATCACACAGAGTTTGACTTTCTTTGATTGTTTATTCATCTACGTCCCAGAAAAAATATCTTCAAATACCCTGCATTTTTCATCCTTTAAAGGAAACACAATTCGGACATGCGCTGTTGGGCCCGTTACGTCTCCCTCTGTAGTGTTTATTTCATTTGCCAAAAAAGTAGCCATAGATTTCTGCTAATTTTTTCCTCAGTTTTTGAGGATATTTTTCTCATTGAAATTATGAAATAAAAAGTGGGGGTCACCATGCTCGTCTAAGAGAAAAGGTGCATTTATTTCGCTATCGAGCTTAGTTTGAGGGAAATCTCTTACGTTTTGTACGCGCACGCGCTCATGTGCGCGCGCTAATGACGCGGAAATCGTGCGCTGTAATGATGTGCAATGCAATACCAAGGAATCACTTTAATCCTCCGTTGGAAAAAAAGATGGCGGCTGTACCGTTTACCACAATACCATGCGAGCCTAATAGAGCCCATCAAGTATAACGGAAGCCACATTTTTGTAGTATTTGTTAATGTGCGATCGACAGTGTGTGCTAGGTTTGAGGGTTTTAGAACGTTTCTGTACGGTTTTATGAGCGTTTTTTAAGTTTCCGTGCGCCAAGAATTATGGGTAAATGTACCAATAGCCGTCTTTTTTCCTACGGCGGATTGCAGAAGTGCAGCTACTACAAGACATAGAAACCTCCGTAATTAAATGACTGAGCAAATTGCATCATTGTGATCGGCTGAGACCAAGTAAATGTATCGGGAATTCTTAATTTGTACTGCAGTGCAGATTAACACAGGCGCATTNCCCCCCCCCCCCCCCCCCCGCCTCCCCGTTATCTTCTCCAGGCCAAGACATTTTTTCCCTACAGACCGAAGAAAAATAATTTTGTCCTTCAGTTGGGTAAAAGATAGGAACATTTCTTCGGGCATCGTTAGAGTTCCTCGGAAAGTTTAGGCCAATCCGTCCGTCCCAATACACATCAGCTTTCATTGTTTTCCTGTAGGTTTCTATCCGGTGCCATGATAAGCACGAAGTACTCCTCAAACATAGTCGCCTGCTTTGATTCCAGTCAAGGTTTACACTTTGACAACAAACCTTTCTAGAATACAGGCCTTCTCTTTCTTGCTCCGAAAGAATACTGAGCGGAAAAGATAAAATTGTGGGCATATTGAAACGAACGTAGACATCGTGTTTACGTCTCATCCTTCTCTCTATTGACCGAGCACGATTGCGGACGAAATGAACCCAATTCTGATATAAAATCACGAGTGTACATTAGGCAGACTCCACACTACGCCGGAGAAATTTGAAAACGCAGCTTTATTTCTACGGTTTGGCCTACCGTCCACACTAATCCGTCCCAAACACGAAGCTTTTTGAAAACGCTGTTCTCACCGGAGGAATTTGAAAACGCCGGCTTTTCGTTTTCTTGTAAACGAAAAACATTTTGAAAACGGAGCTTTTCGAAAACGATAGCGTCACGATAATCACGTGATTTCCCTGACCGAGTTTTATTCAAACACAAATCCAAAATGACCGGTGATTGTTACGTCTTCAAATTCCTCCGACGTAGCGTGGACGAAAAACATTTGATTCGTTTACAGAGTGAAACCTCCGTTTTCAAATTCCTGCGGCGTCGTTTAGATGAGGCCTTCATGAAATAATCTACTCTTCATGCAAGGAGTGTCTGTTAACATTGGAAAATGAATAATAATAATAATAATAATAATAATAATAATAATAATAATAATAATAATAATAATAATAATAACAACAACAACAAAGATTGTAAAAGCTCTTTTTATGGTCTCCACAACAGGTGAATTTCATTTTAAAATCCAATGTACAAACACTGATCAAGAGAGCAACGCATATCAAACAAGGACATCAGTACAGTGTATACACACATTAAATCAAACTCTAGGACTGGTCTTACACAACTTCTTTCCTGGACTAAAATACCCAAACGAGCAAACTGTACATCAAAGATGCATGCATAGAAAGTGCCCTTAAAATCTAATTTTAAGTAAAAACATCTCAAGTACAAAACCTCTACACCACAGTAACTACATCCTTTTTTACGTGAGGGCGCAGAAGAATTTGTAGAATTTTAAGAAACAAATAACCGTCTCACACTCGAATTACCATCTTTGAAAAGCAGAAATTTCAATTCGAATTTCACGTTCTCTGTAAAACAATCCATTCGACCCTGTTTTCGTGAGACTCTTGACAGAGTTGTCTTTAAGACAAACACTGGTCTACAGCAAATACATCGCACACGAAACGTGAAAATGTATACAGTTTAAATCCACGACCCATGGTAACAGGTCTCAGGTGCAGAAATTGTCCTATCCCATAGCTGGCCTGTAACATGCGATTTTCGCGGAAAACTCTTCAGCTTGAAAAAAAGAAAGAAAAGGAATTCTTCTAGTTTTAAGAACGGTACAAAAATGTCAGTGCAATGCGTTTAAGTTACATGTCTCCAAATTAAAGCCGCATGAACAATTCGGTATATCACATCTTAATTTTCTAACCTTCCTATCATCTACCCCCTTAAAATCAAACTCAAGAGAAAAAAACTAAACAAATTCTAACTATCTACTGTCACTAACAACTTCTATAAACACTTCGTGTAAGGTCCACTCAATTTTCCTCTAAGGACGTCCATCACACGGCCTAATAACCGCTACCAGAGCCATAACTGCCGTATTGTTGTTGCTGCTGTTGTTGCTGCTGTTGGTAACCGGCGTAGTAATTCTGGTAATTCTGGTATGCTGGCTGCTGGGCTGCCTGTCCATAGCCCTGCTGTTGTTGTGTATAACCAGTTTGTTGGTAACTTGTGGCCGCCTGGTAACCTTGGTTGTAGTTGTAGTACTGGTTGTAGGCCGCGCTGGCGCCATACTGCTGTTGTTGTGGCGAGTACGATGTCTGGGCAGTGCTCTGCACCTGCTGCTGGTTGTAATTCTGCTGGTAGCGAGGTCTCTGCTGCTGACTGGACTGCTGGTGCTGACGGTATGATGACTGCTGCTGACGGTAGCCTCCACCTCCATACCCACCGCCACCATAACCTCCACCTGATCAAGAATGAAACAAAAAAAAAACAAAACAAGCATTACCACAGTGACGCAAGTACAGTGAGTTGAGTTCTGAAAGCAACATTCGACCCTCATTACTTTCCAATTTAGTCGTTCCGCTCTATTGCTGCTACTTTTTGAAGGGTCATGACTTTCATGCACCACCACACGTTCTTTGCAGTCGCTAAAACGAGTACCACTGATACATTACATCAACAGCGTAGTTTTTACCTTTGGATAAAGGGTCATCTAAAACCTAAATGATGCCATTTTGTCAGAGCTAGTTGTATCTCTCACTTCCAATGAAAAAGATAGTCGTGTTTTTGGTTGCTGCTTTTAAAGGGTTGTTACATGTACTTGCAACGGATCGCTTTGTTAAGAATTTGCTAACCACCAAATTACTTTGAAGAGGATAATGACCATCACATTTAGGAAATATCAAACTAAACACGATTTGATAACTCAAAGCTCTGATGAAAATTGCCACATTAAAGAGAACTTGATTGTTCTCTTTTCCACCGAATATGAAGACCGTTACCTCTCCCTCCGCCACGATGATCCCTTCTGTCATGATACCCTCCTCCACGTCCGCCGCGATATCCGCCCCCTCCTCCTCCTCCGTGATAAGGCCGTCCTCCAAATCGCTGGTAGGAGCCACCCCCACCACCACCTCGCCTGTAGCCTCCACGGTCATCATAACTTCGATCCCTGTTGTAGCCGCCCCCGTGACGAGGTCTGTCTTCAAATCTGGAGCGTTTGTAAGGTGGTTCAGACCCAGAGCCCGAGCGGCTTCTGTATGAACGACCCTCTTTGATGTACGCATCGACAATGGTTTTAGCTTCGCTTTCTGGCTGGTCGGCATAGGTAACTTCTTCGAAGAATTCTCCAACTTTGGGAAGAGTAAAACTCACTGAAAAAAAAAACGATGAAAAAAATCAACATTAATCCAAATGTTAACTAATGTTCAATATCAAACCCACACTATCATACTGATGAACCGCCATAAAATACACTAAATAAGTTTATTTAAGTGTCAAGTGTATTTAGCACTGTTGTACTAACTGGAGACACTAAATAAATGAACAAATTTTGCAAATACCGTAGAATTCCGAAAGTAACGGCCACTTTACTTTCAGATTACGCAAACAAAAGGGGCAGCTACTTTCGGGCAGCCCTTACTTACGGATAGCCGTTACTTTCGAATGGTTAAAAACGTTTGTTCAGTGCCTGTAGTTCATAGTCATTTCACACAAAGCGAAGGGAATTCTACAGTAGAACATCAACTATTAAGAATTCCAACTAGTGGGAGGCTGACCAGTTGGCTATTTACACAACGCGGTTGAGGAGTTGAACTCGGGACCACTGAGAACAAATCCAGAGAGCGGTAGAGAGGATTTTAACCAGGGACCTCCTGATTTCAAATCCAGTGCACTAAACCACTCTGCTGCGCTGCCTCCTCCTCAATTCTTCAATTCTCCTCCTCCTATAATTCTCTTTAAATAGTGCTAAGAATCCAACAAATCAAAACTATATGGAGCAGTTAATGAATTCTCCCTACAAATTCAATTAAGAATATCAGGGTATTGTTGAGAGAAACAAGTTATAGATCACTTGACCCTTACTTTTCATGTCACTGACAGCATTCTCAGGCAGTTCAATGCCTTCCTTCTTTCTGTCCTCAGTTCTCTTTTTAAGATCTTCTTGAGTAGGAATACACACAATAGCTCGTCTGTTAAATCCCTCAAAAGGTCGAATCTTTTTCTTTTGTGCAGAAAGGTACACATTGGTCTGGAAAAAAAAATAAAACAAGTTTAATATACAGACAATAAGAGGTCTCCTAACTTTACAAGCAGTTCGCTACATTAACACATGACTCACATGTCAGAAATTTTAATACATCACTTATTTACCTGGTCCAGAATGTAATTCCTCTTCTTACTTGGTGCGAGCTCAAACAAACGGTGCAGACATTTTGCTGCCTTGTCCATCAACTTACTGTA